TGTGAAGTCTTACGTGTCACCATAAATTTACATTTTGTGGTTTATTAATATTTCACTGTTGTGAGGTGAATAATTATATTTACCTCTATTTTCCCTGAAATTAGTGCATTTTTATATTACTTTAATACCACCAATGCTTCAGTTATTGCTAATATTAAAAATGGATTTAATTATGACTTGATTAATCCAGAACTAAAACATGGTTGATATCCGAACAGGCCAGGCACAAATCAGGTGTAATTTACATCCCTAATTATTACATTAACAATTCCTTTCTTCTGAAACACTGAAATGACACGCCCGGTATAATCATGATGAAGAGCAGCAGCAGGCCAGGAAATGTAGTAAGCTTAAACGAGGTACGCACTGCACCGAAATAGCTAAGCACAACAGACAGAAACGATACCAATGAAGCATTCAGAAATTAGGAAACGGGGCTGGGACAGCCCTGCACACCGTGCAGGCCCACGATTTCCGAGATTCCCCGATCCTCGGCGGGAAACTGTCCCGCGGGAGGGTCTGTGAGCCCCTCCATCAATGGTGACCTGCCATCAGAGCATCAGCGGGCCCCGCTCCCCTCTTCCTTTCCGTACACGGGGAATGAAACTCGTCCAAACCGGGACTCACGAGACCCTATTTTTCCCCATCTAATATCTACTAATGCTTCATTTCTTCAGTGGTATCTGGAGATCCTGGATGCATTACTGGGTTAAATAAAGCCTTGCCTCTCTGTGGGCTCACACTATTTTTTTTGTACTGGTCTTCTCTGTACTGATTCACTTTGAGGAAAAAAAAATAAATCTGCATTTTAAATAATCAGCAGTTTGGCACCGGCCCTGTCTTTTCTTTGTACCATGTATAGCGCTAAGTCCACTGTTGGCGCCAAGGGAATAATAACTCACAGATAAAAAAACTTCAGTAATAGAGGGAAATGGCTGTGCTTTGAGCCCTACCAGCCTGCCGAGTCCCCTGACACCCAGCTCTGGGGTATAGCGAACGAGGAGCCCTCGCCACAAAATCTTCCCTCTCCCCTGGTTCTGTGTCCCTTGTCATGCCGCAGACCCTGCCGGCTGGGGACGAGGGCACTGTGTACCTTTGCGCCGCCATCAGGTAGGGCCACTTTGCTCTTGGGGGCTTTGCAGCCTTTCATCCTCTGAAAGCCACCCACGTCCCTTCGGGGGACGGCGCCCCAGGGCTCGCACCGCCCAAGCAGCCAGCCAGGGGCCGGGGCACGTCCCCTGTGGGATGGGGAGCGCAGGCCCTGCATAGAATCATAGAATCATTAAGGTTGGAAGAGACCTCTAAGATCATCGAGTCCAACCGTCAACTTCCCACCATGTCCACTAAACCATGTCCCCAAGCGCCTCATCCACCCGTCTTTTAAATACTTCCAGGGATGGTGACTCAACCACTTCCCTGGGC